ATGCCAGCTGCCGTATCAAACGGACTTAAGACTTCCGCCATATGTTGTTGCCGAACCAAGAAAACGACGCCGTGAGAAAATATTTATAACGTTTACTCATTCATCTGGAATCAGCAAACTGATTGGGAAATAGAATACCATAGGTGGTAAGAGAGCAAATACTGTGAGCAAGACGACTGATTTGCCTGGCACAAGCATTTGCTACTTATCTACTGCATTCTATAGCTAATAACTTGAGCAAACATGCAGTTTTTTCTCAGGCTGACACTGGACTGTCAAGGTTGTAAATTGTAAATTATAGATTGGTTTTTTTTGAAGGAGGAGTGAGAATAAATAAGTGATGCCAACCGAAATACCAATAATAACTTATAGGACCCAAGCGTAAAATTTCACACGTTTGTTTTATCCGAGCAACCGCGTGTCGGATAAGAATGTGCGTGATTCAGAAAGCGAGTAATATACCGTAGGGGCAGAAACTTGGCCGCTCTTTTGCAGGTGAGAATCAGCAAACGCAATTTTTGTCAAAGTTCTTTGTTGTATGTTTACTAATATTTCATCCAAAGGCAATTTCAAATGATGTTTGCCTCCAAGTTAGCCTTAATCAGGTTTTTTTCTCGTATGTTTAAAAAACGTAGGATGGAAATACTTTCACCCTCTTCTACTTGTTCTTTACCGAAAAGAACGCATTGCCTCTAGTAAAACGCTGGATGCGGAAGGTCAATATTGTTAAACTACCCTCGAGATTAAGCCGTTTTCTAGAAGTGCATAAGTTATATCAAGCACAGTTTTCCTGACCAGCCGGCTTCCATGAAATTGCTTCTGAGAGCACTGCTTTGAAAGGGTGATGACGTTTCAAGAGCAATAATGTTGAGGCTATTTTATAAAAACTTATTTGCAGGTCGCTTCTTCATTCTCTGTCATGGGAAACGCATCCGTCATAAACCCAATTAAAATGTCGTGCTTTTGCACGACACATCAAGTTGTGTCTGGGGCTTTGACTGTGCCCTCGGAAACTAGCGTTCACAAAGTCCATTAGCAGTCGGCTCAATCACGCATATGTTTAAATAGCTTATCAGATCAGAAAATAGAATTTGACACCTCCCCCTGGTGTACGGTGAACATCCTGTAGACCTAAGCAGGCTTTTGTAGTGTATCTTCTTGTTTGTACAGTTTCGAGACTGAAATGAACTGAACCTCAGCCAACATTCCAAGAGAGGAATGCGACTTTTATAAATAGCTTAATCATGCCGTGAGTTCATCTGTGTCATGGTAATTCATAGTCTCACGGCTAATTTTCACGTTCCTGCCGACTGTTCCCGCCTACTCGAATTATAGGCTTGCAAGGACACATTCAGGTTCTTCTTTTGTGAGCTGAAAAAGTGCGGTTGATTTAACTTGGCACAAGGTGCTCTCATATCAGTACGGTGAAATCTGCGTCTTTATTTCTCATATAACCGGTGCAAACGGAGATGGGATGCCTTGTTATACATACGGGAGATTTAGCTTGGCACAAAGTCCTCTCATATCAGTACGGTGAAATCTACGTCTATATTTCTCATATAACCGGTGCAAAGGGAGATGGGATGCCTTGTTATACATACGGGGGATGATCATCTGGAGGCCTCTTCAGAATAGGCATTTATTATATTTTCAAAAGTTTCTCTTTATTTTTCTACCTTATTGATTACTCAACCATGTATACTCTATTACGACGTCTTCGTCTTTCGTTGCAGTCTTCTCAGTTGGTTCAGATCCCTCGATTTCTTTTAATTCTCACCTATAGTACAATACAGTGCAAGCCACCACGAAACCCTGTGATGTCAGAAAATCTCACCTTTTTGAATGGGCAGTTTGTCCTCGAACTTTCTTATGATTTTACCATTTATAGAAGCCAAGCTTTCATAGAATATGTGCTTCTTAAGGATTTTTTCAATCATTTTGTTCGCTATTTGCTCTACCCTGTCGAAGATTACCTTTGTTGGAAATGTGGCCCAGCAAATTATGGCCATCAACCAACTACTCCGTAATAGTTGAGTCTTCGCACGATATTAATCTGCGTGGAGTGACTCACAGCAAACCTGCGTTTAGGCTTGCCACCACGCCTTCCGTGGGTGCCATTTATTATGCACATGCATCCCCATTATCGCCTGCTATAGCCTAATCTGGCCCCGCGCTAATATATGGCATTTACCGAGTGGCCCGTCTTGGGGGCACTGGCCTGGCGGCCACACCCTGGTAACCATCATCAACAGACAGTTTATATTATCGTAGGATATAGTGTGAGCAACAGAAGGCTTACAAATCACAAGTCGGGGAAGACGGTTTTGGTAGACAGAGCTTTACTGCCGGAAAAAATGGTACAAAGGCTGTGTTATGAGCCAGCTGCCAGCTGCGTTTGCATGTCAAGTGTGTCCGCGAAGTTGTGTCCGCTGCTGCGAAGCCCTGGGTGCAGAGTGTGTCCCTAGCTAATCAGGTGGCACGACGCACATCGATTTGTTCGAAGCAACCTACGCCTTATGAAGCCAGTCGCCGGAGGGAGCGTAGAACAGGCAGGATATCGCGGGCCTCTCGCAGCGATTGACAAAGAACGTGCGGGGGAGTTTGTCATGTACGAGTACACAAAAACTTGGCTAGCGAAGAGGGAATGAGTCAACGCAGCAGTAGAGTGCAGACTGCCACAATATTAGTTGATTGTGTCCAGCATGTGTGGGCCAAGACTACAAAGTTCTTTCGCCAGTACCCATCCTTCATCCCTGCTGTGTATGCCCGCCCGTAGTGTCGAGATCACAAGCGCGCAACAAAAGACCAGTTAAGGTCACGGTCGCAGGTTCAACCCTCTCTTTGCTTTGACTGGCTATCCTTCAGTCTCCTGCATTTAGGCCACGCCATTGAGCCCTCTTTGTTAGCATGACTCTTCACTGGGACTGTGCCCTTGTCCTCAGTACACGTCCTGCCCACAGACAGCCTTCTCTTTTGCATGTATAACAGTCTGCCTACACACCGCCTTCTGTTTTCAATAAATAACAGCCCTCTTTTCAAAACCCAAATGTCATACAAAGGAGACGACATGGGCAACTCAGGTCCCCTTGTATCGCCTTCCTACCCTACCATGGTCGTGACCCATCATGGAGTTCGGCAGTCGACTGAAATGGCTCATCAGCCGCATTTAGGCATGCACTACATACATTTGCGAGGGGAGGAGTTAGAAGAGGTGCCCTGAAGATTCTGCCGAGTGCACCGCCATGGAGAGAAAATACGCGGTCAGCACTCCCCAAAAAAATAACACTCTCAACACATTATGACAGCCTGGAATATACGTTCGTTTTTAGATTATGTAAATATTAACTTATCAGAAATAAAAACAATTCTGGTCGTCTGTGGACTGGCCTGCTACAAGATAGGCATCTTATGCATAGGCTAGA